CGCAAGCCCACACCCACTACCCACACGTCCTCATGTTCCCATAAGTATAAGTACACGTATAAGTTTAGTACGTTTGCATAGGGCAAGCGCGAGAATAAACTATGCAACGCTTTTACAAACAGCCAAGTTCGCAAAACCAAAGATGTATGGCTCCACGAAGGAATCTTCCGCGGAAAAAGCTCCGCCTCTACTACCATAGAAAAGCGATACCCCTTAGGCCCCTGAGCATAGCAAAAAGAACGAAACATAAGCGTTAGTTTCGATAATACTAATCCCACACACAAGACAAAATGATCACTCTTTCCGTGCAAGATTCCTTTAAGGTATCGTTTTCTATGGCAATGGGGGCGGTACTTTTTCCGAAGATTCCTTTAATCAGTCTAAAAAAACGTTGGGATTCGGCATTGTTATACAGTGGGTTAACTACACGGCGTATGAGTTGCGCCAGCGATAGTGAGACTGGAATATTTTTTTACTAGTTTCAGGTACTCATTTCCGGCCCTAAAAGTGAAGCACTTGCTCAGAAGCTAGTTTTAAGCCTTGCCAACGAAAACCTCATGGAAATCCTCTGGCTATCGAATATGTCAGCTTGAAGATATTGAAGCCGTGACCATAAGTGCCCTGTACCAGTTTATGAACCATACAGATAAAACGGTTAGGATTGTGCAAAAACATAGAAATTAGAAATTAGAATTTTTTCGGGGGGGGGGAATAATTAAAGAATTAGTTCGACTTCCGTTTCGCACGTGCCTTTATGGTTAGACGGAAGCCAAACTGGAAAAACCCTCTCTCCGTGCTTCTCATTAAGGAAGGGAGGAAAAAGTGTTGAATGATCATAATTTTTATAGTTGGCAATAAACCATTGGAAAAACGTAAATTATGATTGAAATCTGTATTGAATGTGATAGTAAGGATGTTACCAGCTATCATAACTTGATAGATTTGCGGTAATTGCAAATGTCGAAAATAACAAACTTGTAAAAGAACACACAGTATATGCCATGAACCTTGAATTAGCAAGTGTGTTCATCTATCTTGCAGATTAACATTTACTGCTGAGATACCCGCCCACACTCACCCAATAACATGTATGTAGAAGATGCGTGTGGCACTATAGAATGGTGAGTGCTACGCGCAACCCCCAGATGGATAACAACTGTCAGTTGTGTATGACACGATCACAAAGAATGTGTCGAAGGCTATTTGATAATTTCTTTGAGATGACCACTTTCAAGTTTGTACTTATGTTTTATGAGTTTGTTTTTGATTAAGCACTTAATAAGACATCTAAGAAGTGTATCTGTAGTATAATCAGAATCCATTAGCTGGTTCTTTGCATATTTGAACCTGGCTATGAAGTCACTTCTTTTAGTGCAAGTTTGGGCTATCCTGAATATTTCTGTATAGATAGTGTTATTTTTGACACGACAGGAAATTGTTTGTTGTTGAATTTGGGAATCTTTTTATAGGAAAGTCATGAATATCTCATACAGCTCTGAAGTGATAAACCAGGGAACCTCCTTCGTAGGTTCAACAGATAGACAGAACAAGTCAGGGACGTTCCCATCATCTTCCTTGAAAACACTCTTGAAATGCCGGCTGACATATTAACTTTATCTTCTAGAGAGATCGCAGTAACTCACTCCCTTCTCAGACCAACGATCCGCTCAAAGTTTTTGACCCTCCTACTCAAATACATAGAAGATTCGAACATCCATGATTCAATAATTTTTCTCTCTGAATAATATATTTTTTATATTTTTTTAGATGTGTGAAATCTCCTTGTAAAAGCTCTATACCCATCCCAGCGGATTGTTTGGCTTCTTTAAGACATTGACGACAATGCGAGTTTTGGCTTTTTTGGCCACGTGGGACCGAGGCGATTTTGCGGGCGCGGCCGCCTCAGGCCGTTCAAGCAGATTTCGAATGCTAAATACGTAAATAATGATCAATACAAAACCAGATCAGTAAATTGCAGTGAGTGCAACCTACCCCGGGGTGCAGTAGTGGAATTTCGATCGAATGGCGTGGAATTACAATGAAAAAGTGAAAATTTTCTTAACTAGCAGCAATGGACCTCAAAAGCAATTTTGTGTTAATTATTTCAATCAAAACACACATTTTGCTATCAATAAGGTTCCGTATCTGTTTCTACTACTATTTAAATCTTCACATTCATAGAAAGAAGAAGTAAACGGAAAGTTTTTTAGACTGAAGATTTCGTATGGTTCACAAATCCTCCTCTAAATCAGAGCATACGTAACCATGCTATGTCCCACTATGTTTGCAGCTACATCAAGGTCTCTTTCAAGGAATAAATACAAGAAACTTCAGAAAGAATAAGGGGTGTACGAAAAAATGAGTGTAATATGTGAGGGGGATATATATCCCGCACGGTCCGACATGGCCTGCAATGCGCGAGATATATATCCCCCGCTTTGTCGTCAATGTGTTAAAGGAGGGATTCACGATTAGAACGAAAGTCGAAGAAAGGTAAACTGACCCACGGACCTCCTGAGGGTGCGAAATGGCGCGCAATTCGCATGAAAAATTTTGACCTCTGCGACCTATCGTGCCTCAAAGCTGGCGGGTCCGGCGGTCTGGGTACCCCCCAGGAGGCCCGTCGCGCGGCAAGAAGGCAGAGTCGGCGGACGAGTTGCAGCGCGTGGCGTGCGATGTGGGACGTGCAGTGGGACACTCTATTTACCCTGACGCGAAATCCCTGTAGTACACGCGCGACTCGTCCGCTGACATTGCCTTCTTACCGCGCGATGGGCCTCTTGGGGGGTACCCCGGCGGTCTCCGCCCACCGATCACCTGATCACTGCCGTAGTTCAATACGTGGCGGTGATCAGATAGGTGAGAGAGCGTAGTGTTGAAGAGGGCACAGCGATGAGAGTCGCATCAATGCTCGAACCAACGGGCAAGGAAGGGGTACCATTTTTCGGGTTCCGGGCCGTTTCTCATGGTTCTTCCTTCTTTCGTGTACCACTCACCATCCCTAGGTTAATTTGAAATGGGTGAATCTTTTTCATCGTGAATTAGTCCTTCAAATGAACACTCTGTGCTCCCACATATTCTGCAAATGCTTGGAAAGGTGGATCCTTTTCACGAGGGACTTTCTTCCAGGGGACATAGTAGTCAATCGCGGTATTCAGGACAGATAAAAGAGCCCGTACTTCTCCCGTACTTCTCATTTACACTACTTTGAATTCCAAGCAAGGGCACTCAGCGTATATTAGCTAGACTCTGGCATAGCTCTCTAAAATTGCTATTGGAACACATCCGCTTGTGAATGGAGACATGGAACGCGAAACCACTTATTACTTTAATAATACTACTGTAATCACGCAACAGGAGGTGCGGCCTTTGAAACTTACCTAATGCGATGTGTTAGAGAAAACTAAATCAAAAATGTTGTCGCCCCTGATGAGTTCTCCTACGTGCAGGATAAGATGGTGACACTGCACTAGCTCATTTATGCAGGCCTTTGTAGCTAAACAGGGCAGTCTTCCGACGAGTGAAAAATTGCGGCAAATTGAAATCCGGGCAAATTGAAAATGGGGCAGCTGTATGAAATGCCATTACACAGGTATGTATGCCGCGCTGATTCATACTGAGGGGAATCTCACCTGCGTCATGAGTAAGCACTTTGTCTTTCCATGATTTTCTGTTATTACCTTTCGGTCATAATGCGCGTAGAATCAACGAGCTACTAACCTTTACCTTCGATAGAAACCTGTGTATAATCACCTGCTGTTGACGTGGTCAAAAGGGATTATGGAGCCGTGGTGTGAAGCGCCATTACGCAGGCATGGTACAATGATCCAACTTGAACGGGATCATGCTTGCGCCCAAAGTAAGTCTTTCGTCCTTCGAATGTTGCCCAACTGACGAATCCGACCAAGGAGAGGAGTAATTTTGCCTAGCTAGCACTGCAAATTATTTGAAACATTCACCCCGAGGGCCGCCCATATGGGCTGCCAACAAGTTGCTGTTACGATGGCAGCCCACATGGGCTGCCAGCCGATAATCGCTGGCCAGGTGCTAGGAATGCAAAGATAGGAGGGTTAATCTCGTAATCGAGTTCAACACGCTTTTAAATTCTTCTACGGGGGAAGCGAATAGATGCTGTGTCGTTACCACTATTCGTCGTTTTGAACGAAATCCTACTGTTATATCTGTTGTATGTTTAGATAATCTCTACGCATCGGAAATTGCACAAATTATTTTGTGACATTCATTTTCATTTTTGTTCATTTACAGTGCAAAATCCGTGGATATGAGGTTAAGCGGCAGAGCCTACAAAATCGCTTCCGTCCCACGCGCCGAAAGTGGAAAGGGGGCGTTGTCGTGAATGTGGTAATCAGAAAAAATAAACGAAAGTTCAATGACCACTGCGACTCCATAGGAGGAGAATGGTTACGTGGCTCATCGTCTATGTTCAGAACAGCTCAAAGCCTGCGATTCGCTAGTCCATCATGAAATTCTTGTAGCACACCACCTACTTTGGATATTTACCGAGACTAGCAAATTGATGCCACTTATGTGACAAAAACGCTGACTGGTTTCAGGTTGCATACATACATAAATAGGTGGTTTCTGCGAAATCTCCTCAGTCTTCAAGAAAAAAAGATCTCGCGATAAAAGACAATGTGTTCTTATACTTTAATTTTCATGTTTTTTTTCATCATATAATACAATTGATATCCAAGGCGATTACTGTTGGTGTACACATACATTTAGATGTGTAAAAGTCAGAGCATTAAAAATTTTCTCAAAGGGCACTTTTCAACAACATCGAATAACAACACAGAAAAAATGAAACAACAGAATGATGTTCAGTGACGATTGCATATCATATAGCTAAGGAAAGAATAACTAGTAAGATTGAAAGAGGAAGTAAAATATGACGAGCAACGCTCTTGCACTCATACTCTCACACACATAAAGAGAAATAAGGTGAGCTGGCACATTACGCCGTATACAATTCTGCAGCACTACACGTTCGTGTCCGAGGTTTGGATTTCCGTCGGATGCACTCGAAGCTCTAGTGGTATGGTTTGTGAATATTCCAGTCTGAAAACGATAACATTTAGCAATGTTTGGATGACGCAGCCGTTCTTGCCGGCGCCAAAATATGTACTAGGTAACAAACGAGGGGGACCTTTCAACATGGAGCGTTTTTTCAAAGTGGTTTCCTGTATAATGTAGAGGCTCATGTGAAGAACACAGAACCATGGTCCATTTTTCCTGAACGCCACCAGGAATGTCAAAACAGCGGAGAAGAAATGGTTCAAAGTTCGATCTTCTGTGATGAAAATTTTTCACAGTTCATGTAGGCATCTCCAAATTGCCGCAGAACACGACAATGACATCAATTCCTGAAAATGGCGCCATTTGGCTGCAATCTGGGGGCGCCAAACTACAGGGGAGGGGGGCAAAAAAGAGTCACTTCTCCCATGGCGCACATCATCAGATTTTTTGTCGCATGGAATTCCGTTGTCGATGAGTGCTCAACAGCAAAACATCCCTTAGATGTCCCTCTAAAAGCATAAGCAGGCCTTCCTTCACTGCCCCCACAGTCTTCAGAATCTGACGTCATCAGCCGTCACGGTCGAGTTCAACGAGGCTTACAGTAGTCGCTCCGGTGTGAAGCTGCTGCGTGATTTCTCCAAAGGGTTAACTAGTGAACAGCTTATAAGAGACACTAGCTGTGGCTATGCAAGGCCACTTTTGACCAGTGTTTCAGGGACGTCGGAATGGTCTACTGTACCTCGACGAGCTCGTTGAGCTCGTACCGTGAACCATGTTTCCGTGGGAAAATCTTCTGACGCCGTCGGGGTAGAAGACTGTCATGTAATTTTTAGATAGATTAGAATGTGCTCTTCAATGTTCAGCCGAGCTCATTCGGTTTGGTTCTGCAACTTGTGATTAATTACGTTCTGAATGTGGAGGAAAGTTTTTTGCCCTTTATGTCCTGAATGACCTCCCTTGTAAGCGATTGATGCGCCGCGATGCGTTTTTACGGCCAATCATCTTGAAATTATCTTGTGATCTGCAATTTACATCACGAAGGCACGTTGCACTAGAGAGGGCTTAGTAACATTTTGGTATCCAAGGCAGAGACTAGTGAGAGATACCCGAGTCAAATCCGGAGAATCTTTTCACCAAACACCACGGGAATTTGGGTGAAAAGGCACTTCCTAATTAAGCTTCTATGGTTATTCCGCTCTAAAGTGAGGGTAGCGGTGCGATATGGACCGATAATAAAGAAAAAAGTGAAGAAACCACCCAGCATCCTAAAATTAGAGGAAGCTATGTTTCGGGTTGTCGAGGGCCCTATGACAAACAGCGAAATAAGAGATACCGAGAGCCTCAGTGACGAAAGTGATAGGTACGTGCAATAGTGGATCTGGTCCATAACGGTAATTTGCGGGCGCATCTCCGGGTGCAAGGTGGAGTTCCCGTGACATAATGCCCCAGCATGTCTTTATAGGGCAATTTTGTGAAAAGAACCCGGTTCAAGCCGTCTGCTTGCTGATCCATTCAACTTTATAGCAGTCTCATCCAATAGGCTAATTTGTGCCTTTACCAGTGCACCATAAACAATTCTATGGGGTTGGAATAAAGTTCTACACCGATAAAGTTGAAAGAAAAATATGTCACAGCTATTCACCGACAAAACGCCGCAATGCCGCTTTCAATTCCATCAATACTCGAAAGGAGGCTTGAACCTCCTCGACCGGAAGAACAGTGAGATTCGGTCGAGTGCCTATAATTATTCACTTATTTAGTTGAGCAAACACCATCAAATTATCCGCAGATATATAAAGTTGACGCAGCATAGTAGAAAATATTGGGTAGAAGGGGAAGAAGAGAGGAACTCTCCCTCTTAACTAATCTGAAGTCTTATTCGGGCTGCTCTGTGAATCACTCATTGAATTCAGGAAGTTGCCTCTAATATACAATTGTTAGCTGATATAACCCCGATAATCTCAGAGTTTATCAGCGAGCTGGAGATAACCTTTGTAGAGGGTGGCCGAAACGTATAGGACGCGGATTTGACCGCTTGCCGGCACTGAACCGTAGAGTATTTTCAGGGTGTTTCGGAATTCTTCGAAAGCTTTGAAACTATGTAAGAAGCACCATAAGTTGTTTGGTCTAAAGTACATCTGAACTCTCTGCATGAAGATTTTTTGGATCGACCCATCACCGAGAGGCTGCCCAATGACAGTCTCTAAAATTGCACTTCATAAAGCGACTCGGTATTCCCTCTTCTACTCTTTGAAAGATGTTCTGCTTTCGAGGTTCAAGCACACATCTATGGGATTGCAAAAAGTGGAAGTTAAGGAACCATGCACACTCAGAGGATTGGGGTATGCACCCAGAAGGGGTCGGCTCGCAACGATGAAGACAGCGTGAGTTACATCCAGAGTCAACCCTGCGTTGCGCAGTTTTCAACTGCCACGTAGCGCAGTTTGCCCGATTAGACACCTTCTCTCGCGCGAACATTCACACTCGCATGCTCGAGCCGTCTGCGTCTCCGCCCATGCAGCGTGCGTTGAGGATCTCTCAACGTGCCGTTGCGAACTGCGCAACGCAGGGTTGGCTCTGGTCACATCGCCTTTGATCTAAAAGTCTGTCGTCATTCCTTCCAGAAAATCTTGGGAAGCAGTCATTATTTAAAGCGGGTATCGGCTCTTTCTATGCTTGTTTTCATTGGTGCAACCCGAATATATTCAGCAGATATGCAAAAAGTTTCTGCACGAGCTCGAGGTGCGCCGCATTCTGTTACGGATTGAGCTAATGGGAAAATTTTCGAACTTGACTCTTTGCTACCATCAAAGTCTGAGACAGTTGTCGCCAAAAAGTCTTCAAGATAACATCTACGGCATTCGCCGTAAAAACTGCAAAATACACGCGAAAAACGCAATTTCGCTTTTTTTTCTGTTATAACTCGGTTCAAAGTTGATGTTTTCCTAATCCGAAAACTGCCTTGAGTTCAGCTCTTTCAGTTCTATGGAAGGCTGCAATCGAGTTCTTGAGAGGCACCATCTTGGATTGGGCCATGTACACAACTTTCACCTCAAAAAGTAGATCCTTGCATGTGATTTGTACGAAGTCCCGCTTATGCGAACTGACTGCTGCACAGAAAGATGGTACTCAAAACCTGCCCCGAAATGCGTCACGTACTCAATCTAAACCGAAATCTGAATCGAACGGTATACAATTAAACAATATAAACTACAAATTAAACAATATAAACTATTCACAAACACAAATTTGTCTTCCACCGTTTTCGGCCTTCTACTCACTACCGTTCGGCTTTACCAGCCCTTTACGGCCACGTGCGATCCATGTGCACGGTGCGTGACGCCGTTCCCACGCTCGTGCAACAGCCATAGCGACGTATTGATCGGGCTGCACGCCGACTACGGCTGAAGGCCATCAGCTGCCACGCGAGCTATCACGCACCGTGCATGTTTATCGGACGTGGCCGTGAAGGGCTTGGAAAGCCGATCGGCAATGAGTAGAAGGCCGAAAACAGTGAGAAAAAAAAACAGACTTGTGGTTGCGAACAGTGCTGTATACAGTTCGACAGTAATTTTTATGGGGAATCGACCGGCACACATCTCAGTTTTCTAAGTCCATCCTGAAAAGCAAAAAATCTGATCATTTCACAAGAGCATGACGAGTGGTGATGTTTGGAGCCACACCACGAAAGAAGCGCTCTCCCACGACCAACTGTTCCATATAATTCCGACAGAAAGGTGACCGTAGTCTACGAAATTGAGGAAAATTCGTCGCTATCTCCGCAGCTTTCTACAAAACTTCGCCTCTAAACGGGAGATGTCACATAATAGGCCTACTATATTCCTGCTGAAAACTGTTCAAAGGTTCTCAGTTGAGATGAGAGGATGCGATATTGAGCGCTTAAAAACGAAATGAAGGACTAAGAATTCGAAAAATAACAACCATTTGATCTCATAATGTAGCGGATTAGATTGAGTAGGTGATGCATTCTGGGGCAACTTTTGAGAACCATCTTTCTGTGTAGGAGTCAGTTCGCATAAGCGGGGTTACATGCACGTCACATGCATGCATTTACAACTTTGAGATGAAAGATGAGTGCATGGCGCAATCCAACATGGTGCCGCCAAAGAATTTGAGTGAAGCTGTTCATAGAACTCAACGAGCTAAACTCACGCAGTTTTCTGATTTTGGAACGCTCAGTTTTGGCTCGAGTTATAACAGAAAAACGAAAAAACGCAAAAACGCGTTTCCCGCGTGAATTTTGCAATTTCTACGGCGGCGAGTGTCGTAACAACAGACTTCCTCCAGAAGGTGTGGTGGTTTAAGACCGAATAACATCCAAAGCTGCAGACAGATGTTAAATTAACTCGAAGATTTTGCGAAAGGCTTTAATGAGGTAGGCATATTGTTCTGGATTTATGTGCATTTTGCTCAATTATCTTTGCTCTTCAATGAAGCTGGGCTCCCTAATACATACACGTTCAAATCGACCAAAGCCATCCTGAGCGCTCACTTCCTGGGCCACTGGAGTAAGGAATTGTCACCTTCTTCCTCTCAGGCCCTTAACTCGATGAACTCCTCTATGTGAGGGCGTTGTCGAGTAAAACCTCATAAGATTAGGATGATCTGAAGGATATTGGTGGGTTATCTGAAGTTAGTGATTCAGAGGGAGTGGGACGACATCGCCGCTGGCTACCTGTGGCGCACTGCTCATTTTGTCGTTGGACGTCAGAAGGCCTCTCTTAAAGGTCGTCTAATTCAGAGCACCTTCTGCACAAGTGGTCAAATAGCTTAACTCTATATTGCAGCGAAATCGCTTTCCTGATCGAGTCTCTTTCTTGGCTTTTACACACAAAAGCATGACGTCCTATACTTTTCGGCCACCCTGTATATTTGGAAGGTCTTGTATACAAGAACTTCCTCCTGCACGCGTCCCAGACTCAGTTCTCAAAAGGGACGAAGGCTAGGAAGATCAACGATGATTATGGGCAAATCCTAATGCACGAAAACCCTTGCATGGTTTCTACGAGCCCATAGAAAGCGTAGCAAACAAATTCACTAGTGAATTTAATTGCAAAAAAAATTCAGGACGGGGTAGGCGTATGTGGGGAACTACACAGCCCTCAGCCTCATCAATCCTTCCACAATAGGCGAGATTTATTCCAGGCAGGTTTTCTTTTTTTAGGGGATATATCTTTATGCTGGATGATTTTAAGTTAAACGAAGTATTGGGTCGAGAGGAAAGTCAGTAGAGTGCTGCTGTTTTCACTCACCTCCTAGAGATATGATCCGATGTGAAAGCGTTCGGTGACGGCATAAAACCTTGATTGGTTGCTCCAAGGTCAGAAGAGGATTGTAGAGATTGTTCGAAAGCGCCCGAATCGGAGTACCTATGGCAAATACGATATTCGGATCAATGACACTGTTACTGATTAGAATTTGCATAATTACTCACATTAAATGGCTGTCCGCTAGGGATACGGGAGGAGGGAACGGAAATCGGGTGGGAGTGGTACGATGGCCAGCGACGTTCATGTATGCCGACTCAACTCGCACCGCTCCCGGCTCGCCTGAAACGTGAAATTTTAGCCTATTCCCTTTCCTAAAACAGGTGTACATACATAGGACTGCATGGATATCCGTTTGGATACGTTCAGATAGCCACGTCGACTGGTGCAAGATCAGTTCATTTGTCCATTATGCCTTACTTTCTGTCTGCGCTTCTGTCAATGTTTTTAGCTTCACAAAGGTCTGATGAGGGAAAAACCTTTTATGAGGGGAGAGAACTAAAAAGAAAGTAAACAGAAAGTAAGGCATAACAGACAAAAGAACTGATCTTGCTCCAGTCGACGTGGCTGCACTTCCTAGCAAGTAATGGCTCGGTTTCCGAGAGAATTTCTTTTCACAAAGAAGGTCTCGTTAGTTGCCCCCCGAAGAACGACCTCGGAGGTTTTTCAACACAAACAACATCCATTGAAAGATTGGAATTAAAGGACCGAAATTCTGGGAACTGTTCGATGAAATTGAAATGTTTCTTCAAAATGCGGAGTTTAACTTGACCAAAAGCAAAGAGGAACATTCATAGCTCTTTTTTGTTCCATAGCCTACAGAATTCTAGAAAAAATTGTTAGCCGTGTTGGAGTTTTGACTCAATTCTCGCGCAGTATGACTACTTGACGATTCCTGTTTCCTTTTGTTACAGTTTCCCTTCTTCAAAGTGTAACTGCCTTTTTTCTTTTGTGGGAACATTAATATGAAAGCCTGATAACCGTGAATCATTTTCATGAAGCTGAAATGTATTTCACGAAGAAACACGGGGTGGCTGTATCATTTTTGAACAGAGGAAAATTGACTCTCTCTGAAAAAATGGGCACGTAATTTTTTGGCGTTTCGGCACGGATTTTTATGTATCTGAACATTCCATGAAATTGTCATATTTTTATCTGGATAGTTTTTCTGAAACTCTACAACCTTTGGGTTTTCGAATAAATTTGGGTGGCTATATCATTACTGAAAGCAGTGTATTTGTAATAGTATTAAACTCACCTAAAAAAGGGACCGAGTAATGTGTGTGGGTTGAGAGTTCTGGAGCAATCCAAGCAGGAGATCCAATAGCTGAGTCTACAGATGGGGCAGCCACTTCAGCGACAGCACGAGGTACAGAATAGTCCGATTCTTCTTTCACGCGAAACCTACCAGACCCTGGGTCTGAAAGCTGGTATGCAGTAGCAAAGAAAAATTGTATAAAAAATTAGTGCCAGAGTCGGAAGTGAGGAACGTATTGCTGTCACATCCTTCCGCTTTCTATATCTTACCTGTTTGTTGTCGAACCAATCGAGCGGAATTGGGTGAGGAGTCAGTCGGCTGATTACAGTACTGGTGATCTTGGTCCGATGATTGTAATATCTCTGAGTCCTCAACGGCCTCCCCCATTACCAACGCCGAGCCACCTCCGTCAACATTGTCGTCACAAATGGTATGTTGTGGCTGGAATCCTCTAATAATCCTCGCCCATGAGGCTACAACTAGTGACTAAATGATTGAGATCAATGTAATTGTGGGAAGAAACGAAGCTAGCACTGACATCTGACGGAAGAAATACCGGTGCTGAGAGCGGTCGCGTACGCAACTTCCTGCCGAGGCTGCCGTCGCTTGATGGAGGCGGTGGAGCACCTTCTATATCATCGAATATTGTGTCGCTCTGCAAAGAAAAAAAATCGATTAAGAATGCAAAGTGAGATTCTGAACTTGCTATACGAACTGATTACAAATAGAAGGATGCCCAACCGGAGGTCGACGTCTACAACTTCTGACACCATAAGAGGTGCAACCCTTTACTCGTACGAACACATTCACCTATAAAGACTACAAGGGCTCAAAACAATAGGCCGAGCAGGGTTTTCACCTCCGACCTAATGGTGTGGAACAATGCGCTGGTCTTAGTCAAGAAAATAACAAGCATGTATGGCTGAACAAAAAAGTCACCTTGTAAAGCCGCTAGAAATGCAGCCAAACAAGTTCAATGTGGGCGTGGTTGGAATTGGTCAAGGGGACTGCACAACCGCGACCACTTCGGTGTTGCTCAGCTCCTTTCTAGCGGCGGTGAGTTTTTGTAGTCACTCTTCGTATGTTCTTGACTAGGGCTAGCGCATCATTCCACACCATTAGTGTCAAAGGTGAAAACCCTGCTGAGACTGCCGCTTCGATGACGAAGCAAATACATATGTGTAGTGAATATCAAAGTTTTGACAATGAAAAATTAGGTCTTCTAAAAATCTTTTTTTTGCTCTTGAAGAGAAATGCTGCGTAACCCAGTAATTTAAACAATATTCGCTGTCCTCAACGCCATCAGAATTTCGGCACTATATGCAACGGGATCGCCTACTCGCGGTAGTTGCAGATTATTATGGTTCTTGCGAGTCAAAACGTTCTGTTTGAGCTGGGGTATGTGCATATGAGGTTGAAAGTCAAAAAAGAACTTTTGAAGGAAGCTGAAATCAGTAAGTTAAGATCAGTATACAGCTATATCAAGACTCACATCTGCATCCTGTAACATCCAGTCCAAGTAGTCCACAATCATTTTGAAAGTCGGCCGTTTTTCCCGTTTCTCCTGAAAGGTAGTTGACCTTGGAGAATTTAACGCGTTGAAATCGGGCGGAAAGTGATCAAACTCAACCTACTCACCAGAAGGACTTCAGGAAACGTTCCGCTTTTTCAAAACGGTTTCTTTCTTGGAATTATGCAGAGACACATGCACGAAACATAGAAGCATGCTTTACTTTTCCTAGCGGCCCTCTGAACGCCAAAAAGGGGCGAAAGGTTGATTCATTGTCCGATTTTTCGGAACCAAAGCCATGCAGTTTCGTCTGGCGCTTGCATGATATCGCGAAATGGCGCCCACGGCTACTATCTATTATAATTAATGCCTTATTAACAAAAAGATTATCAGCAAACCATATGTATGAAAGGTTTTCACCGAGATCTGTTTTCAAAAAGGTGTTGAGCTTGAGCTTTTTTAATCCATTTTCGTCCGATAAAGGGTCACTCAAAAAATATACTATAATTCTGCGCTTCATGCATCTGCCCCTATGTCACGCTAAATTTTTTCAAAAGCGAGGCGTTACCTAAAAACTTTCCTGGCGAGTTTGAGATAAAAAAAATACTTCGAGTCTCAACACATACTTTGGCTCTGCCTAAATGTTCTAAAGCGCAAACGACACTAGTACGTAAAAGAAAATAGGGACGGCAATATAAAAAACGTATTCAATCAATCCACTTGGATGGTCGCGAAAATGAAGGGTGAGCAGTCTTTTTTCTTGATTAACCTGAGACCATGGGATCTATGATGGCGTAAAACTAGAAGACTTCTGCACAGAAGTCCAGGCGGAACATTCAATGAAACCCTCAAGCAATCGCAGTATTGTACAAAGAACTATACTAGCTACGGAGTGGTCAACATATGTGCTAAGCAACGCCACTACACAGCAGCAGCCCGATTTATGTGTGTCTCCACACGCTAATTGCAGGGAAGGGCCTTGCCACCTTATGTTCACCTCCAGCTATTCTGAGATGGATAATCGAGAGGAACAGAACTTCAGAGCCTAATTTCCAAAGAATTCCTTATACCAACATCTGACGGCAGATAAGGAATCGCCTTAAAAGGATAGGAATCGCTCATGTCCTCTCATATCACACCTTCTTTACCGTCTCGTTGACCACGTAGCCCAGGATGAGCACGACTGTTGAAATGCTGTCTACTCACGTCCAAGGACAAAGAACACCCATAATCCAAAGGTCTGGGTCATGAATTGAGGAGATAAGCAAATCAGCCCTTTCTCCGTTTCTGCTGGGGCCGTATGCTGAATGTTGGGGAAGGATGGGGTCCGCGGGGTCGGCGGACTACTTGAATTCGGTCGGTACGGTAGGAGAGTGATGACGAAGTGCAGCTAGGTCCTGCAGCTCCGCAAAAGTGCTGGTTTTCTCACCCCAGGGCTAAGCCTTGAAGAGAGGACGAACTTGCGCTCTCTCGTAGGTCTGTACTCCCTTCAAGGCTTACTCCTGAGGTAAGCATCTAATTGAAGCGGTTTCAAGGACCGAGTTGAAGTGGTCCGTCGACCGTCGGGGATCTCATCCCTCCCCAACATTCAGCATACAGCCCCCAGCAGAAACGCCAAAAGGGCTGGTTTGCTTATTTCTGAATTGAGGGCCGCTCCGAAACTAACCATAAGACTCTGCGCGCGTTGTGGTCATTGTCATTATGAGTTTCTTCGAAATGCATGATGCAACGAAGTTGGGGCTTTATGCATGTATGCAATGGGCGCAGCACCAACCACTGCACCAAAATGTGACATCGTGAAATGCCCGTCGTACTCCATCAATTGAATGAGTCAGCAAACCACGCATTTCAGCCTAGACTCGCGCCTCCACGCAATGGAAGAAAGAGATGGTGCTGCTTTCAGGTTGAAAAGTTATCGTGATATGCGCAAATAACCCGTTACTCAAAAAAAATGCTGAATTGTGATTGAAGACCCATTTCTCGCTTACCTGCCAACATGACACCATAAGATCATATATCTCAGTTGGGCATTTTTGAGGGGCCTCCATCCTGAAAAGCAAAATTTCAGGTGACTGCTGTCTTGTATATAATCGAGCTAGATTAGATTAGATTTTTAGAGGATGGAAATGGTCACCTGTAACCACCTTTCAGCACAGAGTAAAGTTGAGGCATCGCGATTGTTGGATATGGTGTACCTCCCATTGTCATGATTTCCCATAATAAGATTCCGTACGACCACCTACACATAAAATACCTTTAATTTGCAGTTGGAGAAATGGAGGCTGGTCAACAAGGAATGCTAGCCCTTCTCGTAGAATACAAAGGAACTGAATATTTTTGAAAAAATACTGACACATCACTCTCAACGGTATACATGTGAGAATCGAGAGCTTCCAGCGCCATCCACTTGATTGGAAGCCGTCCATTTCCCTTCTTCCTGAATTGATATATAATACTGCCCTAATCACTACACAATCAATTTTTCAAGCGGAGTTATGAGCGTAAGGTTTAATGAAACAAAAAGTGTAAAGGGATAACCTTCAGAGCATGCAGCATTAGAATGTTCCCTTCTACGATACGTCACACATTTAATGTAATCGAAATGGCCTTTGAGTGCTTAATTTGGTGAAAGTGTTCAGTGAGAGATACTAATGATTGAAAATTTGGTATGAACTTCACGAAAAGAGCTAGTTCGAGTGGATACAAAGGTGTCAGCTAAACCGAAGGGTCATTATCTCTGCAGATACCAGGTCAATGTTAAAAATGGAAAGGTAACTGTTCTTATCCCACGAAATACGTGTGATAGCTAGAACACTTTCAATGCGCATTCACCAGATGCAGTTAAAGGCACGAGTCAGGCTGAGTGGATCAAACCAATCCCTTTTGTTGGTTTGTGCATGGCTTCGCACCCACAGAGATGTTCCCATGCTCAGAATACCAAACGGCGAGGTAATAAGGTTCCAGGGCACGTATTAAGCGCTTTCACCGCCTAGCGGCGCTCCGACCGCCCACTTCCGGAAGTGGTGCGTGGCTGGCATAGCATGTGAAATCAGCTAGGTTGATTGCTGCATCAACCGATAGAACGACTGACATCTCCAGAAAACTTGTTTGTACGTGCCTCTAGTCCTCAAGCCAGCCTCCTTCACTGCTAGTGGGAAAGAGGGTTTTGTTAACGGCCTTGTCGACGGTTTTTCTCCACTGCCGTTCCACTTCCCATCTCTATACTCAGTTTCAATCGCCGTAATACCCTCTTATTGAGCCCGACTTTTGCCTTTAAAGCAACACCCTCAGCAGAAGTCGGACCGAAGAATCTTTTCAGTGAGTGGGAGTAGCCCCAGAGTAGCACAGATGTGCCGTTGTCGTCTTGAAACTGCGCGACAATGGAGCCAGGAACTTGCAAACTCAGCATTTGGCGACTCATATTGGAATTTGGACGACCTGTGTAGCGTGTACCCCATGACTCGCAGCGTGAATGACGGCATAGCTAATTCAAAAGGTGCGGGCTAGTGGAGCTACGGAGCAGGCAAATTCGTACAACTCGACTGGCCCACCCCTCCTTTTTGAGAGAAAATTTCGTTTCGGGCACCATCCAAGCTTTTCTTCGCTTCTTTTTTCCTTTTTGCATCTTGGCATCCATGACTTCTTTATCAAACACTGTGGCCCCAAATTTTCGAGTTGGAGTTGTTGCTGAGGGCCGGTACAGAGCGAAAGGGGCGGGGGAAGATTCCGCCACAAGCGCGCGGCCGCGTCGCGTGTTCGGTGCTGGGGCGCGCTATTGCTCTTCACGCAGGTGTTCGTGTGCTGCACTTTCGTAAACCGATTCTTTCCGATCTTCTCCTTTCCAATCTTGGATACATACCTTTTAGAAACCTCTCACGGCTTAAATTTACTTATCGCCCGATCTTGGATCTGTTCTTTTAGAAACCTCTCACTGCTAGGATTCATTCAGTCCTTTTAACATTATTATTCAGGCCTTCAATATTTATTAAGTCGAATTATAAGCGCTAGAATTTTCACTAGCAATACGATAAACATTCACATACTACTAACCGCCTGCGGATTACTTGCATTCACGTCGCATAAGAGCCTCAATTAGGTGTTTCCGCGGGTCCCTCTTCTACACAGTGCTTAATGACTGCTGTGATTTCATACATTGAATCTTTCTCCACACTGCGATTGGCTCTGTCCAAACCATTTCCTTTCAATACTCGTGCAAACGGCCACATCCTTCGCTACACCAAAGTCACGCCAGCATTTTCAGTCGGTGTAGCTGACCAGGGGCCGTAAGGTGTGCTTCCCCGAAGGATCAGGGGACAAAAATCCCTTTAAATTTTCTCTGTCTTCCCAACTGGGATTGTCCTGATAAAGGGCCTACATTTAATATATGTGTGTTGTTTAAAGTAAACATGCATTGAGAATAAAGAAACAATGTCGTTCGAAACAAAAAATTTAAAGGGACTTTCGTCCCCGCAAGCATTCGGGGAAGCATACCTTACGGCCCCAGGAAAGGTCTGTCAACCCGTCCAATTGATATGAGATGTATACGTGCATATGCGAATTGGGACGCTGAGCTCAAATATGTGTTCCTCATCTGCTGAACTCAAGGCTCACGAAAAAGAGGTCAGGGAATCGACTCCCTGGCGAGTTCGTTCTTTTGCCGTTTGCAGTAAGATAGCTAGGAAGAATCTTAACATCGCTAGTTCAAGATGCTTGCGCGTAGTTAAGAGCACAACGCATTAAAGGGCAATTATTAGGTTGTCTCAATAAATAGTGTCGCTTTTATTCAACCAAAAAAAAATTCAAACATTGACTAGACCGACAACTAGCTCTAGCTGTATTTTCCCTGCGGAGTAATCGATCAATCACGTACCCACTACTTAAACATGACCTATTCTGAACATTGCAAACTGTTGCCGAAAAAGGTTTGCCCCGCTTCTATTCGAATTGGCCGGCTGATAACCCATGGCAATTTTCAAATTGAAATTCTTCCTCTGAAACGCTATTGTTTTATATCAACTGGTGTATCTTTGTGAGCATTTCTTCTGCTCTATTCGCTCATTTGTTTTGTTTTGATGTTTGTTAGGAATATGCTCGAACTTTAGGTGTTTAGGAGTAAGGTGCTTTATCCACGAAAGTGACCGCATTTCTTTGAAAAAAATTATCCCTGAGAAGATGAGAAAATCAAGGCGTACACTCCTAACTTAGTCTTGACTTGTTCTTTAAATTCTACTAGTTTTTAAATGTCTCGCCTTTAAAAAAAATTTCGACTTCGTTCTCAGGTAATGGTACTTGACGTCGAGTTCTGGTTGAAAAACCAGGTCTGTAAATGGGATGATGCGACTTGTTGGAAAACCTAATAGTGTAATGTATAGAAGAGGTCATGCATAAGTAGAGGGTACAGTATTGATGGAGATCTCCCAAGGGAAGATAAAGTTAGAGATAGTTGTCGGTTTGGTTAATTTTGTCGGCGGGACCCTCATTTCGCAGGCTTCAAATTTAAAACCATGGAACATAGACGGAAAAGGAACCCAATATCTTGTAGAGCAGACAATTTCCCTTCAAATGATATATGAATCGATGTAGAAGCATGGGGACTTAGATGAAAATTTTTTGGTTGAAAAAGAAAAGCGAGGCTTCATGAGACAACCTAATAATAACGAGCTTGAGCGGCATCGCTCCTCACTACTTTGGGCGCTTGTAGCGCAGGCGCAAGGCATTTTTGCTTTGAACAAATATGATGTTCGTAATCAGGAAGCCAGACTCTCCCTCTAAGTAAACTTTTAGCGAATTCTGAAATTTGGACCCAACCTCGAAAATTTGGGCAGTCACTCATCGATCCACCAATCCATTACAAAAGGCTGGCAGTTGAGTAGAATAAACCTTTTAAACACTTCTCATAAGAGACAAAAATTGTGTTTGGCTTGCCCGTGTGCGTCATCCAAAGATCTGCAAAGCATTGTTTCGTAATACAACACTATCTCTCCTCTTTCCCCGTCGTCCATAATTGGTCAGCCCAAAAAATGGAGTTTGCGGGGTGGCAATCCCTTCACTGCTCCGCTTTTTCTCAATTAGTTCATGACCCCAGGTTTCGCAAGAAACCCGTTTTTAGAGGTAGTTTGATCCGCTGAATACGAACATGGTACCTACTTGCCACGGAAAAGCACACCACCTACACTACGGGCACCATGGGCACTCAAGGCAAGTAATGCTCGAACTAAGAGAATCTACTTGCAAACTCTTCGTAGATGTAGCGTCGGGCACCTTGATAACAGCTTTTTAGCCAGGAAAAAAGCAAAATACCAAGTGCCTTAGGGGTTCGAACCCGCGACCCCTTACATGAGAAGCAAGACCTTACCAACTGTGCTACCGAAGCTCACTCCATCGAACCCTCGGTTCTCATTTCGATACTTTCATAGTGCAGTTAACATGTGTTTGCAGGTAAGACACTGAAAATTAAGGGCGGCAACAAAATCCCTCCGTAACTCCTTTCAGAGAAGAGTTCAGCAAAGCAGATTTGAGTTCAGCGTCTCATGTTGCGTATAGAAATGTGCACCTCATTTCATTTGGCCGGGTTGGCTTAATGACCCTTCCTGGTGAGTGGAAGGTCGCCGCAGACTTTCGTTTAAACGAGCGCGCGCGGGAAATTTTTTCAAAGAGCTGGCTCGGCGAATACCTCCGATCGTCGAAAACAAAGAAGCAAATCAACGAGGATCCCGGGCAATCACGTGCCAGTCATTTTCAAAAGTGGCGCGTCGCCTCAATTGTGTGCAGTCAGGTCGCAGGCAATCGCACACGTTACGGCTATCTGCAATTGCACACCAAGGGCAAAACTGCGCCGCGGCCGCGCGCTCACGACGGAATCTTCCCCCACCCCTTTCGCTCTGGAGCATTCGTCGTTGTTGCTTCAGATTTAAAGCAATAATTTTATTTTTCAACCTAACTTTACATCATTCTAGTGGAAACTTCCAAAGCATGGTTGGCTTAAAATCACTTAATTGTCGCGAAACTGCAAAGTACTTGAATTTTTGTGCAATCAGTTAGACGCAGTCAAGCAGGGTAAACCATGGTGTCTCATGGTCACATGGTGGACATACCTTAGTAGAAATCTGTAATCTGTCATCCGCCTCTTCCATTATTTGATTCCTTTTTCAATGAACCCTTCAGGTGTAAGACCTCCGCTGCACGTCAGCTGCCTTGATTGAAGTGAATTTGACATTATTATCATGAGTGTTTCGGCTATACACTTTCTGGTGCTTACGAGCTTTACGAAACAACGCATTCTAGCAGAAAGGGACCTAAACTGATAGCAAGTTTTCGGTCGATTAACTCTGTTCAGGGAGTAGATCATCTATGCTTTGTCATTTCGTCCTACATTTCGCATAGAAATGCAACAGCCACAAAACGAGTGTGGAGAAAATGTTACAGAATACGAGATAAATTGGAATAATTTGTATCCTCACCGATAGTAGTCATTACAGTGTACATCTCTGGAAAGGCCAAAGTCGGATATCTTCATAACGAAATTTTCAGCGACAAGCACATTCCTGGCGGCTAGATCACGATGAATTATCTGGAAATATGCAGTCGAATGTGGTTATTGCTCGGGGCGTGAGCCAAGAATCTCGATTCGGAAGCGTCGCAAGCCACGCCACGCGCGCGATACAATTCCTTCAAACCACGGAACTTGGCTTCGACACGACGCTGCAATTTTTTTGTCTGACCCACATCCTGCCGCTCGGGACTGCCTTACTTATTGAAAGAGCTCATGTGGAGTGTAATCCACCTATAACGACGCGGCGGTGTGTCGGACGGTAGTGACTGACATCCAGCCTGGAGCCAATAATCATAGAAACAACATTCACACACTCACACAACTTTGTTCACTGAGTTCTTACAAGAAACGAAGGGCGGAAACAACGGTGGCACTTGTTCATAGACTTTTACGGAATTCACGCAGTACGACATATTAGGATGGTAGGAAAGTCCTGAGCCGTTTGACACTTTTTTGCTTCACTTTTTTATTCCGCGTACAATGGGATTTACTCAACAATATAATCACATTGTTACTCACCTCACAGTCCCACCTAATGGGCAGGTCTGCGACCCCCTTCCCCCAAAACTGAGCAGACTGAGAGTCGAAGAAATCGCTGACCAGTCTTCCAACGTCTTCAACTTTAATGGATTTTTTTATCGCTAGGAATGCCTTGAGGAGATGAATTAAGTGACATTCAGAGAGGGCAATGGCAGTGGAATAGGATGGGTGGGGAACGTGTCCCAGTACAGCTCTTCCGATTTTGCGCAGGTCTCCTTAGCTATGTGGGACTTGGCGTCATGGTGGAGTAAGCGGACAGAAAATCGTCACGGTCGTCTTTCTTGAACAGCTGACTTCTAGAGCTGACTAGCGTAAATGCTGCCGGTAGCGGTATGTCTTTGCGGGAGCATCTCATAATACAGCATTCCTCACGAATCCCAGAGATAGCAAAGGAGACAGCTTCTGGGGTGAGGGTCCGATTTTACTTGTGTCGGCAGACCCTCTCTTCAAGGAGCCACACGGCACTGTGCTTGTTATAATCGTAGAGGACCCAACTCTCATCATTCGTAATCATGCCCTCCAAAAACTCCTTCCAATGCGGACAAAGAAAGAAGGAGAAACTGACAAATGGGTACCCGCCTGAGCCGCGTGCTATCGGTCAAGACATGAGGAATCATCGGTCAGCAATTCCTGGGGCAAGGGCCGTGGAGGGAACCGAGGACTGTGGGATGAGTCGCACCCGAGTCTTGTCGCAAGGCTGCGGTGCTAACCTCCGAATCCTCTTCGACAGCGCCGAGAAGGAGTCTTCTAGTTTGGGGCCCCAAACTTGACTTGTTTTCGGAAGTCGTGCCTCCTCCTCTGAAGCTTGCGAACCAGAGCTTGGCACTGGTTGTGGAAGTGGCGTCAATTCCCAATGCGCTGCTGACGATGTTGGCGGTTTCCACTGCTCCTGTGCCGCCATTCATTGGAGATAATCGCTCGAAAGTGCTCTTGTGTGATCGATATCATGGTTAATGTTAATGAAGGCAACCTGGCTACAAATACCTACTGCGGAGAAGTATGATCGACAGCGATAATCTATCACGTAGCAGATTCTAGGTATCGATGAATAAGAGAAAGTTCTGGAGCTTTCGAAAAATCCGCTCAGTGCTTTCTTACCATCCCAAGTATTATTCCGATAGGTTCGATGAGAAGAAAAATTCCTTCTTCGAAGCACCACTGCGAACTCACATCGGAACAAGAAATTGAGCTGACAAGCATTTAAAAAGACATCAGCGCCGCAATCACATTGCCGTGACATACATAATACACTGCGACGCATAATTATAGTTCCACCTACAATTTCAGTACCCGGCTGGATATCATTATCTCACGATACGGCGCTTATCTCAGTCGGATAGTGAGGGTTCCTCCCAGTCATAGCCTGTAGCATTCTTGAGAAATTTGTTTATGACACCCCGACAAATTTCAGCGGAGCTGACACTATGACAATTCCTGCGTCTTTTTTGCTAGGATTTCCCTTTTAGGGAAGTGTGAGAGCGGTTTCGCCTTTGCTATAAGCTATGGAACTTGAATGGATAATAATTCCGAATTTTGATCGGGTAGAAGCAAAATGCAGCGGAGAAGCTAGAGCGGATATTTTCGAAGAAATAAGGATAAAAAATTGTTGCTTTCTCAAACTGGATTTCCGTGTTAATATTCAGATTCGCGCTTATATGCGTCACAATTTACCTGTAGAGCCTTTTCCAAAAACATCCCCAGGTTCAAGTTTATGGGAAATTTGTAGGTGGAACTATAATTATGCGTCGCAGTGTATGTACGCTACGATTGTGTTTCAAATAATCACCTTTTTATTTGCCATGAACTCCATTCCTTTGGCTACTTGCCAAGCAAAATGTACGAGATGCTTGTGAGTGATGTTGTGAATAGCAATCTAAACAGTTATTACCTGGAATTGATCCATTCAAGGAACTGAAGAAGTAAATTTCATAAACATACCTGTTTATCTTGTTTGTCCACCCATTTTCGAGGTTCCAAGTAGTCAGCTAACTCTCCGCTGTGTTTTGACATGGCCTCTTGCTTGTCTTCCTTTGGACGATGAATTCGAAGAAAATCTCTGAAATCGCCCAATCAATATATCTATCCTCCAAGATTTTCATGGATATTCGATTGTTAACTTTCAAATCCCTACTCGGAAGACTCAATACCTAGACCCAAACGAGCTTTCCTTCGTGAGAAAAAGATTTTCACCAGCGTCAGCAATGAAAAACAAGAGCTAGCAAAATTAGTGATATATTAGAAGCAGCAGACAGGAAGAAATAGAATTCAAAAAAAAACCGTCAGGATGATCTACTGGAAAATTTTTTACCTCAAGTTGCCGTATTTGCACAATTCCAGCACTACATATAAAGGTCCAGAGCCTGTACAGCATCCGATTAACCTCAGAAGATTGTCGTGGCGCCCGATAATCTGCAAGAAAGTAGTTGCTGACTTAAACCTTTGTTCTGAACCGAATGTGAACTTGCATACAATAAAGGACAAAGGATAAAGCATCTGCAGATGATCAACCCTTTTTGGGATGCGGCACACATTCTACTTCCATTTGTACATTTGGAGTGGCTTTGAATGCGATTTGGCCTATACTATGACTTGCGGGGCCGGCCGATGTTAAAGTCAGTGTTATATCCTCCCAGACAGGTCTGTTACCAATTGACCGATCCTGAAGGGATGGAAGGCTTTGTTGGGCCGGACGACGCACGACCCAGAATTTGAGCCCCGAACAGTGCGCGTGGTAAGCTTGCCACTCGCCACTACACCGCAGCCGTCCAGTTTGAAATCGAAGGTATTGGGAAGAAGGTAGATTCGTGTCAACATCCGCCCTTATTGATATAATTGTTCTTGGATCTCTTGACTTTCGCCTTTAATCGAACTGTTTTACGGAGCTTGAGAGGGAGAAGGTAGTCATTTCAAAGGTTTAGGCCCTGATTCGATTTCTCCCATTGGTAAGTGACCCGAGAAGCGATTTCTCGGGTCACTTACCAATGACAGCATTCATAACTATACTCAACTTATGCCCCTTTCCGACTTCGGGCAATCCCTCACGGGACACTTCTAAACCTCTATGGCCTCACTAAAAGATACCCTTCAAACTGATGTAAGCTCTAGGGTATTAGCGAAAAAGGGCTAAGCAGCGACTCACTTTGAATGTTTCCATCTCACTGACCAAGTCGATGAGCTCCTTCTCATGTGCGGATGACTTCAACTTCTTCACTGCCACCGGAACACCCTGTATTTTTAACAATAGTTAATAGTTGATAGGTGAAGATCACGCATAATTCATCACTTGTAAAAATTCACCTCTGGTGACGCGTTGGGCTCGTTATGATCAGGACGGAGATTTGCCCTCCAAACTTCTCCGAACGCACCTTCACCCAGTATGTCCACCAGTTCAAGCCTAAATCGCAAAAAAAGTAGTGGAATGGGAATCATATCAATATTGTAGATGCGCACCTCGATCGATCGATCTCCCAGAGTGGATCAGGATCGATTTCGTAGTCGGACAGCAGGGTCAAATCAGAGCTGAGACGTGGACGTCGCCCTTTTGTGGAAGGTGCTTGCTCGACAATCTGGGAAGATTGGCCAAATAGCTGAGCCGAACCTTTGATTACGGTCTCAGTAGCGCTCACCTGTATTTGGTAGGTCGAAGGGAGATCTGAACAGCCTTCTTTCTCCTCTGAATACGGTTTGTGCGTTACTACCACCTGAATCGAGCTCTTTAGGAATACTGCACTTAGTTTGCTTGAGCATTTCACAAAAGTGGAAATACCTTCTTCTTTTTCGGCATGAGTCCGACACGATCTTCCAAGTCCCGACGTTTTTTCGTGATGCGGAAACAGATGTAGTAGGCAACACAGAGACTGAGCATCAACGATAGTAACATGACTATTAGGAGCAGAAGGACTGAAGTCATATTTTCAGAAGAATTTATTTTGTGAGCGGAACTGAACATTCGCAATTCGAGATTGTACATATGGTTCCTTGTTGGGAGTTTATTTTTTAAAGTACAGTTTTCCTTGTCGGTTCGCGCATTCTCTGAGTTTTTGAATTATTGACTTGTAGTGAAGTGAATTTCGCGAGCGATAATCAATAATTGTGCGAGTCACCATGAGCAGGGCATCAACTGCACAACCCAAAACGGACAACGTGCGCCACATGGTGGCGCACGACTATTTCTTCTGTATTCTTAATTTCATAGCAATTTGAATATACCCGCATATACTCCCAGCAATGTGGAATAAAGTATCTTCCCAGGACCTGGACAACTGGATTTTTGACAAACTTGCAATAAATTTCATACTAACTTTATCTTAATTTTCCAGCTTTTTCTATTTGATGAGTGGCCTGCCCATGGTTCGTACGTCCCAAGAGCTCCCCTTTTGAATATAGCCACTTCCCTTGCTCGGGGTCGTTGTTTCCCACTGTTCGAAAATGCCACCTACAGCTTCCGTTCATCGTTTGCCCACTGGTTTTAGAGCGGAAAGGCGAGTTACGAAGTTGTCGACATCGGAAACCTCTTCTTTTGGAGAATCAAACACGAAAACATGCTTCAGCCCCAATTTAAACCCTCTGTTCGCATAAGCCTACACAAATCCTATCCTGTGTGATGACGTGCGCCACATGGTGGCGCACGCGCGAACACCCCTGTCGTCCATTGCGTGTTAAACTTTTTGAGCAGTTGTTTGTCACGTTCCGCAAAAAAAGACTACTGAGGTGAGCAAATTAAATTGTGGAAATAATGATTACAATTACAATTTTAGAAGATTCACTGGCATCAAGTGACATCCTTTGGGATCCTATCTACTGCAGTACCAGTCACATGAACCTAGCTGAATTTTTTGCTAACAATTAATCACTGACTATCATATGAACCGTCAATTATAACTAATAATGATACTGGAGAAAAAAAATCCCAAAGAAATAGTGCCGATGAGTTTGGGGCGGTGACTTGGTATGAACAATGATACCTTCAAGTGTGGTCCGTTTTGGACAAGACGCATGTTAACAAGTAATCCCTACGCAACCCATCTGGTGTATAATCGAATTTTCCTTGTAGCGCAATTAAATGAAAAGGAAACTCACGTATGCTCCATGTCGAATACTCAGGCTCTGGATTTCCTGTGAGCAAAACCATCCCAAGGAACTCATTCACTGTCAATGTGGCATTTGCGAGAACCTTGAACAGTATGTTGCGACTTCACAAGCGAAATTTGATAAATTGTGTATGCAAGCTTACTGATCCAAGTGAATTTCCGGTGATACATGCATATATGCCTTGATCTTCTAAGGTGACATTGACAAGTGTTAGAGTGGATTCATCATCATTCGTCACAACATTGGCGTTCTAAATTTCAAATTGTTGAAAAAGAAACAATTCGAGCTATTGACAACGTGAGTTACTGACTCACAAATTGTCATAAAAATTCTACCAACAACACATTCTACCTATCATATATGAGGCTCAACGGGTCTCAACGGGTCATCAGCCGATTCAAAGGCGTCGACTACGATAGGTTCAAAAAAGGTTCAGCTAAGACGTGGTGTGCTCAATGGTACGCCAGTGGCGAAAAAAGCACGAAAATCCGTCAAGAGAACGCAGAACGGGACCCCCTTTTTTGGCCGTTTTCACTCATGAACAGATAACAGCTCAAGAAGCGAACCTATGGACGAGTTCAGCGCAACTCGTATGGCGGCACCATGCCAAACCACGCTCCAATCGCTCTGGCAACCAAGTAACTGATCCGTGCGGTGCACATGCTTCCCCGATGCGCTCCCTCTTTATCGTAACCGTTTCCTTTGAGATTGGGTGAATGTCTCGTTGGTAGAATTTCTAGTACAGTTTGTGAGCCAGCAACCTAGGTGTCTAGTTTGAATATAATCCGCGATTTCTATAACGACCTAATGCAAAACGATAAATGATTCTCGCCCAGCTCCATCAAATTGGTGGTAATAAATTGATTTCGGCGAAGGCTGGCCCCTTCATACTGCCCAGACATTTAAAGTCACCGCAAATCATGGAATTCGAGTGTTTGGCGCATGCTACATATAGGATCTTTAACACACACCCTTTATAACATTATCCCAGGTGGTTCCGTGACCTCCACACCGACCTAATGCGCAAGCGGTCCAACTACTGATAGGTAAGTGAACCACCACACTATTCCGGTACGGTAATTTTTGTATGCAGACTTGCGCAAATGCACGTCAGCCAATCTTGTATGTTTCTGTCCTTCAATAAGCATTTTTAATTCTAATAATTGCTGAGAAAAATCCTCGGTGATGCTCATGAAAGCTTTGATAAGTGCAAAAAAAATAATTTCTGTGGCAAGTAAAACACTTCTCAAGAGAGTAATATTGACACAGAGCCCCGCTTCATTCCACATGCCATGCTCATCATGTTATCCTATAATCCCCTGACCGAAGGCAAGAAGACTTGCTGAATCGTGCTTGCTGCATTGTATTTTGAGCAGCGTAAAACCTCTTCCCGACAAATAGCACAGATTTGGGCTTAGAGGACTTGAGATCCAAAGTCCATATTACAAAATCCTCACAGCACTTTGGTCTGCACATCACTGATGTCTCAGAATTTGTCACTTACCACATCGGAAACGTCCTAACAGATAACACTCAGTCTGTCCACATTCATTTCCTACAGCGTCAGGCTGAACAGAGACTGAGAATGTTAGGGTGATGGGTAACTTTCTATGAAAAAGTCATCCTTGGATAGAGTGCAACAGCTGTGCACCGGGCCTGAGAGAGATACTTTTACCGTCTTTCTGGTAGTGCATACGTTTGCCCAGCTTTGTTTTAAAAGACCCTAAACAGTGCTCATGAAAAATGTAGCATTAAATGGGTTCTAGAGAACGCAAATGAGCTGACTAATCTTCAGGTGAACCGATGTGGGTGCTCCCAATAATTCACAATGTTTTACTATTTTGCAGCTTCTCCATGCTTCAATACTGTAACCTTTTCCCAACTGTCCTTTGCTTTGTTACGAAAACCTTGGCCGTATCGAGCAAAGAATATCAGGAAATGACGTAGGAATCAATCAGCTAGCCTCGATCGCGTCCATTTCCGTGTACTTGAACATGTACTCCTTTGCAGTCTCATTGTAATAGTGCAGTGATCCGTTGACACGATCGATTCGTACCCAAAAGATGTACGGTGTCAAATCGGACACGACCCTACAATTGAACACGGCCGTTCCATTCACATTCACCTGAAAAGCAAAATTCAATGGGCAAAGGATCACTATTCATCAACTGCTGATTAAAACTTTGAAGACCGCGCGTGTTTCACGTTACGTGGCGGCGCGGGCCTTCGGTGAAATTTTTAGGTATCGTAATAAACAAATCTAAAAGAAGAACCCACTGTATAATGCAGAAGAAATCTTATCGGATACAATGGAAAAGAAAATGAATGAAAAACCTAATAGTTGTTTACGAAATGCGAGCTGAAAGGTGCTATGCGGCCGCAGGACTGCAGCCCACATATGGGCTGCGTGGGCTCCAAGGTGTTAAACGCGTATAGCGCAGCAGGATCCACGACTTAGCTTGAGCAAAAGGAATTTTACTCGTTTTGTAAGCGAATTGTAAGCGATTTCAATGGTCCGCTCTGCTGATCTTCAAATTTTACGACCCCTTGTAAGAGGGAGTTTGCACAAACAATCTTTTCTAATGAAAGTAGTGACGACGGTGTCCTGGAAACTGCCATGGGAACATGCGCCCTCAGAATTCCTTGAAGATTGGTGTCGAACAATGATGTGGGGAGGGGGGGGGGTTGGAGGAGGGGTACTACTTCAAAATTTTCCTCGACGTCTCGCTCGACCCTGACCGCGCCTGTTACTGATTTAGGAGACCGCAGAGTGAGTGTCTCATTTTGAAAAAGAATGGGATGCAAAAAGCAACATGCATTTCTCCAGAAGTAATGGAGGGAAGAAATAAAATTAGCCATAATGAGAAGATGAGAGTAGAAAGAGGGAAGAATTAATTCCGGTGGCCGGGAATCGGATGCGCGTTAGCCTCCTGAAATGAGACCATACGTGAGCACTGCGCAGTGCATCATCGGTGATGCCTGTCTAGTCTAGTAGGGAATTAAGAGTCAAAGTCACTTGCTCGCTGGTGGCGCTGAGCTGATTTGCCGGCTTCAAATGATCTGATGGCGATTGTAAGGTTGGCGTCGAGGGTCCCTAGTAGAATGAAAAGAACTCTAAGCTCTTACTTTCTAGTAAAACTTACAGTTTGATTGACGAGGATATTAGGCACGATTATAGGTGGCCCACGCATGCGATTGATGATCGTTACGTTGAAAGTACGACGTATGGTACCCAGTGAGTTAAAAACCTGAAGAAATGGTGAGTAAAACGTGGCCATCAGATTTCGTGTAGATAATGAACATGCACAATCAACCCGAAATAAGCAAAATTGACTGATCATATTTAATTCAACTAAACAGAGATATCTCTGCGTTCACGAGGACTTGCAAGATACCATACATCTATCCTATGTCCGCATCCATCTGTGAGATATCCTTGTCCATGGAGAAAAGGTGCACATTGGGAGCGCGCTGTCGCTGCGCGTCTAGGAGTAAAGCGCGGCAACCTTCTAAGCGTTTTCGGAGTTTCTCCCTGATACACTGAGGTTCAGTAATAACAGAAAAGAAGAACAATGCCGCCAAGAGCTGCTCATTCCCTCGCCAGCGTCATTGCTCTTCGAACCAGCGCTACCTAGCTCCAAAAAGAAGCCTATCCGAAGAGCACTAAGGGCAAGCCACTGAAATAAGTCATGGCTAGTTTCAAATGCTTTTCTTACCTCGCACATGTACTTTCCAGAGTCGCTCTCCGCCGCATCCTCCATCTCCAGCATTCCTTTTCGGATTTTGAAGTCGGCTCCAGTCATTCGTGGACTGGCTTCGGTAATTATAGCACCGTTTTTGTGCCACACAACCTTAAACAAAGAAGTTTGAACTGACTTTGCAGAAAATTACCCTGGCAGAATTGTGTCTGCTGAGAACTGTTAAAGAACTCACACGTGGCTCTGGATAACCAGTAGCGCGACAGCTAAGCTTAACGGTTCGTCCCGCAGGGGATGCAAGGCTTCGAGCTGTTTCCTCACCGTCTTTGAAGGTAGGTCTCACTGAAATCAATCCATTCCTTCTAGTAATATCAAACCCTTTATTTCTGCACTCACAGTTTAATTAACTATATAATCAAAAATTACCAGATAAATATGTGCATTATTGCCCTCTCTTGTTGTCATGACTTCCCACGGAAGGTTCAGAAAGCCTTCTGAACCACAACTGTTTGTACATACTGTCTTGCCACTATGGAAATATATTCAGCACCCTCTCCTACAAGCACGATTCCTGTTTTGTTTAGTCGCATCTGTGCGAAAAATGATGGACTCCATGTCGAACTATCTCTAACTGCAACGCGTTAAACAAACGTGGACCATAACGTGTTAGTTCTTGCCTAACAGGTTAGGCAGCTAGGGTGAACATAACCTACCCTCCCCTTCAAAAGCGAGAAAGTGTTGAGTGCACCAGAAGTGACGACGGCTCTTGCAAAATGTTCATAATTTCTGCCAGTGAAATGGTTGGCCTGGTTCAGTTGTATTCTGTCGATTGTCACTACTTACAGGTATCATTTACCAGAAATCAGCTATCACTATGAACAGTTTCTAACCAGATTTACTTAGAAGCCGTCGTCAGCTGGGTGTTTTGAACACTCTGGGGGGGGAGCTTATTTGCTACGGTGAAGTATGAGTATCGTTTTGAAACACGATTGATGCCTCTGATTTGCTTCTTGGAAATTCCCCATCTGAAGACAGGAACTCGTTTTTTAGCCTCAAACAACATTTTGTCCTTATTATGGGGCAGGCATTCGTACAAACTAATTCGAGGCAGATCAACACTGTGTTCACTTAAGGACGGATTCACTTTCAGTCGATGGATTATAGTAGCATCAGCTGATCATTATTATAAGATATTAAGGACAGAAGAAGATCGGCGAGGGGCGCTGGACCACGTATTTCGCTTACTGAACACTCACCCGTCCCAGGATAAAATCGTACTCAAACTAAAAAGCCTTCGCACTCGCATAAGAGGTAACCAGCTTGAATGGGTAAAAGTCCTAACTTCTACATAGCCTGGTCACGCAACTTACCATGTATATAGACCAAATGCCACTACCTTTTTGACAGGAACACCGGTGCATATCAGAAAGGGATTAATCAAGGTTGAATAATCGTCACGTGTAGTTTCATGATTAAAAACTATTATTCCCTGGTCTCAGGACATCTGTCAACCGTGAGCCTTGGCGGTTCAGCGTTTTGTTGTGATGTCTGGGAGCTCTCACAAGTGCACACTATCACAGCATCTCCTCTTTCTTTATCTTATCCAAAAGGCTTAGTCACAAAAAGATACAAAGTGTGTGCTTTTCCAGTTACCCTCTCACCCTTTGGTTGAAAGAAGCCTTGTAACCATTATTCCCTTCATCGTGGATAGGAACTAGTATTTTCGAAGTCAATAAAGAGCACTAAACAGTGGCAATAAGCACTCCCTCAACATCTCATGCTCCCTCTTCCGGTCTGCCACATTGTCACACGTCCACCAACACATTCGTATTGGTTTCGAATCATATGGGCTTCGGTGGCTTGCACCGAGCCGACATGTCCATTTGTTTACACTGCCCCCGATAGAAGGATCACTAAATGGGGTGCACATTAGTACGTATGTCTTCCGCACTAGCCGGATTACGGTAGAGATGAGAAAAAACGGTTGATAGACATATGAGAAGATTCAGTGGATTCATTGCTGTGCACAACTATACAACAAGGTTTCTTTAGGGTGTGCCAATGTATCGAGAATTTCTCAGTGGATGCATTTAACAGAAGCAAGTGAATCAATAGGTGGCCGAGATTTCAGTTTGGCAAAAAAAGAATGAGCAGAAGAGAAAATGAGGATAGGGGTTTCTGCCTTCCCACGATGTGCCATGCATTTGTCTTAAAACGGAATGTTTTTGACATTTGAGCTTTTGCCCATCCATAGTATAAGACAAAATACAGGGAAAATTTGCTTTTCAAGAATCTGGAATCAATTTACTCATGCCGGAAGCTTTTTCTCTTGCAACAAGAACGGAAAGGGGTTCGGGACTTAAGCGGAGTCACTCTTGGGTAAAAATTTAAAGTCTTAGTCAAAAAATTGTCAACCCATTGTCTGATCCCAATTGAGGGACTCAGAAAGATCGAAGGCTTCTTGGAGTACTACGAAAATGAGTTGGACCCCGAAACCATCCATGGTTGAAGTAGTACCATGGTCAAGTTCCGGCTCATCAAACATGGAGCAGATATATGGATGCGAAAGTGAGTTAGAGTTTCCTTCCTTCCCATCGAACGATTTTCAGCCCCGAATAGGTATATTGAAAGTATATCCAATCAAAAGTCGTGCCTTCTGGTGGTGGCGGTTCATAGTTGACCTCTTTCTCCATTATCCTCCTCTTATAGGCGGGAACACTCGGCGTAGACGAGACGACACTGACTGGATGCTGTTTCATTTCACGAAGTCGGTTCGGTGTCCTTCCAGTGATTTCTTCTAGGCTCCGATCTGTAATATGTGAAACGCTCCACTAACCAGTATCGAAGCTATGATATAGAGACAAAGGCTTCAAAAAATAAGTAATCAGTCATGTAATCATGTTTTGCTACCAACGTTTCACGATTTCGCGGGTTGCAGATGTATGTGGATGTGGATCTCCGTAAATTCACACCAAACTTAATAAATGAGGAGGGATGCGATTCGAAGGACTAAAATATTTCCGGCCGTCCAGATATATGTTAGACAATAAACAGCTCAGAAAGTCTTTTTGTGCTTATCAATATCGCGTAAATGTATTATAGAATATTATTTTTTATTATTCGTTCTTGTTTTGCTCTATCCCCTAATTTTTATACTTTTCTCACATTCGCATATAGGTACCAAATGCTGCAAACTGGGGCTGATAGCTAGAGATTCCGCAACCAGAGCAACATTGCATTTGCTGGAGGAAATACAGTTTGGAATGTTTAGCGATTTTTCATAATTTTTTTAGAAGGCAATGGAGACTTTGAAGGGAACCTATAGTCGTTGTCAAAAACGAGGCCCTAGGTAAATCAGTTGAGACAGGGCTGCATCAGTCTTGAGCTGAAATGGTAGGCCTCTAGAGTAATCGATCGCTGATGCTTCCACGAAGTTGCTTGCGCAAGAAAAAATGTGCTGTGCTCATCTGCTGCTTTCGTGTACTCTGAAAGGATGCGATTTTGATCCCATACGCCAAAAAAGACTGCGAAAAATTGCCTAATTAGGGTGGAAGGTTCTAAGCATTCCATCGCACAATACATATCTGCTCTGACTGACTGTGTACCAGGGTGAATAACGTCGAGGATTTCCTCGACCATAGCTCTCTACCATGAGAGAGTAGTGCCGAGAGTGAACATCCGCGCGGAGAGCACAGACGGCACGCCCATGGCGAGTGTGAGTGTCCGCGCGAGAGATCGTGTCTGACCGGGCAGGGAATCCCCGACGTGCCGTTGAGGAATCCTCAAGCGATATTCACCCTGCTGTGTATTTCTTTTTTCCATGCCTAACTTTGCTCGGAAAGTGAGAGGTATGATTTTTCAGATGGTGTCAAAACCGAACTGTTTTTTTTAACTCAAAAAATTCCGAGCTCCATTCGCATGTGGTTTTCACACACATTGTTGGAGTGAATTAGATGGGAAAATGCTACAGAGTATTCCGATGTATATATGTATACGGTTTCATTTCCCAAATTCTGAATTGAAATATTGCTGGCTCAAAACTCGTGGTGAAAATTCGGTGCCCAAGATAAGCGTGTCATGGCTCGTTTAGTTTTCCTCCTTTCTATTCTCACAGTTATTTGTTCCCGCACCACGATTTTTCTCAAGTGTCCCGTGGGATCAGGGCGAACCGACGCAATCCTACGACCAGTAAGTAATCATATCTCATTTACTTGGTTTTTTTTACTTTTCTTATTTGCATTTTTACATTGAACTTTCGGTATTAAATGTACACAAAAATGGAAGCTAATGCCTTCCTTTACCACTATCTTCATTCTCATCCTCATCAACGGCATTCTCAGTGTACATCTGTACGATACGTCGAGCACGTTCTACTTTCTTTTCTGCGCTAAGACTACGCCAGTCCAGAAGCGTTTCGTTTATTCGATTCATTTCATGGATCGGTATCAGTTGTGGCAGTAAATGCGCCACGTTTGCTCCGCCATGATCAACCAGCCAATCGAATAGTTTCACCGGATCTAAAACGGCAATCTAACACTGGCTAGAACTGGCGCGTACCTTTGATTAGTGTCGCATGCACATGCGCAGACGATGATGGCCGTACTGCGAGCTTCGTCGTCGATTCGGGAGCGAATTTGGTGGTCCGCGTTGTCGTCGTTGACGCCGACGTTGTCGTGAACAGTAGTGGCATACCGTACAAATCACATGGAGGTTCAATGCATGCAAGAGGATCCTTTCGAGATTTTCGTGCACGTTTCTCGATACGCGACGCATACTTGTTACAAGTAGTAGTCGTAGCTATTGAGTAATCGATATCGTGACGTTCCTTGTCGTTGGTGATCTGCCATAAGCAGATGCATTCCATTGGGATCGAAGCTGGCGGCAGTGCGAACGTCGCACCGGAACGCATAGCAAAGTAGTCGCAAAAATCTGAAAACGTGACACGCCATGCCAGCAATTCATGCAGCACACCGTAGTACATAGGAAAGATTTTGGAAGAGGCTGTAGGTAGAGAAAAGCTGCAGCAGCACGGTTACGGTTATTTCACCGGAAAAAAGAATCTCGTGGTTCCTGATTGAATGTAAATTTCCTTTTATGTGAGCCTAATACGTCTTTGGACTGATAGAAGCTCATCGTGCAATTTTTGACTATTTTTATTGATCACCTATTTTTTCTGAATTCTAAAGTGAGAGAACTGCGTGGAAAGAATTCCATTGCACTAGCTCACACTTCAGAAATCGGAACTGCTTTTGAGAAGGCGCGTGAAAGAGTTCTCTAAAAACATATCAAAATGAGGAGTCCGAAAAATGAACTTGGTGTGGGCAAAGAAAGTGAAAATAAACATATACTAAATTCTTTTGGGTTTTGGCCGGGCCTACTTTACTACAAATGCCTACATTGTCCTAGTGATGACACATGCAAGATTCAATTTGAGCTCCGTTTTAAATGATTCATTGTGAGAAGAAATCCTTTATCTCCTTCTGGGTCTGATACAAAACTCAAAGAAAAACCACATCAAATATAAGGAAAAGAATGTCGAGGATAGCTTGAAGCTATGTTAAATCACGCTTAAAGGAATCTTCCGCGGAAAGAGCTCCGTCTTCATTACCACAGAAAAACGATCCCTTTTAGGCCCTTAGCCTCATGAGCATAGCAAAAAGAACGGAACGTACAGCTTTAGTAAGCTTTAGTTTCGATAATACTAATACTACACACAAGACAAAATGATCACTCTTTCTGTGGAAGATTCTTTTAAGGTATCGTTTTCTGTGGTAGTGAGGGCGGAACCTTTTCCGTGGAGGATTCCTTTAACTTGTTTTGAGTCTGATGCAAGACAAATGGCAAAATTTTGAAGGCGAGGTAACCGAACTGCTGGGGCGAAAAGTGGGAAGACACACCATTAGAAAAACGAAGAAAATTGAAACACATGCGCATATGGAAAGTTTCAACCCATGCAAACGTACCTATTATTTCGACTGTGAAATTCCGATCCACTTTACCCAGATGGTTGCTTACTTTACACGTCCATAACCCCTGAAAGTTAAGTTCACCTAGAACGAAGGAATCATGGTCGAAATTGAAGGAAGTAAAGAAACGAGTAATATTTTTTATTCATTATGGAACTGTCAGTGTGAAAAATGTCAAACTAAATTATTATTTACGGAAATGAATTTATGCTGTGGCTGCTTTCAATAAATGAACAAACTACGTGCTAGTCATTCTTTACATTCCGTTTGGAACCTTGGCTCCAAGAAGGCTCGGATGGCGTGGCTAATAGAGGACGACCCATAAAATGAACTTAGCTACATTTTTCATAGGCCTAAAGAGGACCACCGAGATGCCTGTGATTGAAAAGTGCGCGCAGGGAACCACTTAAAATCCTCCTAGCAAGTACCACACGCTGAAGGTTGGTAACTGTGTATGGTAACTGTACCACTGCGGGTTCATCAGCAGGGTCAACCCTGCGTTGCGCAAATCCAAAATTTTTACGACCCCTTGCCTTTCGGAGGGTATCGTACGGCGCCCCCTCCCCGTACTAATTATTGTGTCTTTTATATAATTTATTAATTGCTAATAATTGCTCATCATTGATACATGGGCAGTCAGCGACATGAAGAAGTGTTGGCGCGCGCTTTTTCTCGTTCAGAGGACGGGAGTAGAGGCAACATGAAGTTCCATTTATTAAAAGAAAAAGATTCAAATGACTAAAAGAAAATTAAAGAATTTCCAAATATTGGCGAAAATCAACACATGGTAGTGATCACAGGGATTTCTACTTTCGAATATCTAACAACTTTTTTCCTCTCAATTCTCCTTATTATAATCTGAATGAGTGAACCTTGTAGCATTTACGTTACAATACAGACCCCTCTATTAAGAAGATTATGTTTTCTTCAAAGACGGTATCATGAGATGGGATATACAAATTTGAAAACTTAAATGGTCTTCTTTCTGAGATGTCTTTACAATGTTGCAAATGTTCATTTCTTCAAGAAATCGTTTCGTTGTTCCTTCTTTTGGGCACACGCGACTTTTCTACAATCAAGCATTCATAGCTTCCTTCATTATCAACTTTTTGCAGATGTTCAAAGCTAATTAGAATAAAAGATCAGCGCTTTCGAACAAGCACCTCACATTCTTCCGAAGATCCCTCCCTCGAAAAATAGACCCATCGCTCCGTTTTTCAGGGTTTTGTGGTCCAATTTTTGGGAAGGCGCGAGTTTTCATCATTTGAACGTACATAACTTTCTTCATAATCAACTTTTTGCAAATGTTCAAAGCTGAGAAACCAGAAAACTGGCGCTTTCGAATCAGTGCTAAGACTTTCACGAAGAATCGCTTTTTGAAAAGTAGACTCGTTGTTCCGTTTTTTTCCCTCCGATTTTTCATGCCATTTTCCTGAAACGCGACCTTGCAATTTTCAAACGTCCATAATTTCCTTCAGTATTCATATAATGAGAAGTAGTAAAAAGTATTGAAGTCTACATGAGGAGTGCTTAACAACGTATGCAAATTTTTCCCTGGAGGCTTTCTTCTGCTAAAAGTTCTGATTGAGTCCATAGAAGTCAATGAAGCAAATTCCAACTTTCTTATACTTAGATTTGTTCTGAAGACATCAAAATCCTTTTAAGAGAGTTTTCTGCTCACGGCCGCTGACAGATAAAGCGTTTTGAAGGAAAACTCCTGCCAGAGGTACGCCGTACACCTATCTGCTTAGGAGTCGCACTAGCATATGAAAGTCCTGCACTTCCCCGAAGACAGTGATAGTATCGCGATTGTTATTGCGTCGTAGTACATATTACATGGAATCCTACATATTCTCTCAATGCACTTCACCGCCGGCCCTCTGGGTATACGACCCCTCCCCTTTCGTTCGGCCAAGTGCGACTCCCTCCTTGTTCTTTGCGCAACGGGCGGTGACCCTGTTTATCAGTCTGGTGTTCGATGTGGTCACGCTGCTGTTCAATGAAAATAGGCTAATTTAATGCAATAGTTAAAATCCAGTTCGAGGAGGGGCACTCCTCGCTATCATGTCCCTGGTCCCTGAGAACACTCTTGCAAGCCCAATCGTGGAAGCATCCTATGGTTATTTCCATACAACAAACACATAACAGAAGTATGTTTTAGTGAGTCAATGTGTCGCAAGCGCTCTCATTCTTAGGTATTGGAGAACCCAATGGAGTGCCCTCCCCCCCCCCTCCGCCAAAAAAAGACCCGCTGCAACAAATGAACTTCTGGACAAAAACACTACTCTATGAAAATGATGACTACTCCCCAAAAATAAAACGACGAGCGTCACACTTTATGGACTATGACATATCCTTATTTGGTATCTTTTTCCACATCTGTCCAAGGTTTCAGACGGCCTAGACCTTCATAATTATCATACTTTCCGCATAGGAAACCCTATACACAAGATGTAAGCGCCCACACGATAGGGATGCCACGTCTTTCAGTTATGCATACAACTGCCTGCCATTCACCATGCCATACCACTTTTTCACTGGAAGTGCTTCCCATAAAGTAGGTGGAAGCAAACTCTGATTATGTGAAAAAAATACAAAAATTCAACAGTCAGACCCACTGCACTTATTACCTCACCAGGTAGGTGTTTAGGGGGTGTCAACCTTTTCCAAAACGGTCTTTGCATGATATAGGGGCACGTGCGGAAGCCACAAAATCACGGTTAATTTTTCGTAGCCGGCTCTCTGAATACCAAAAGGGGGCCCCTTGTTTGATGCCTCATGGTGACAAACCTTTGCTTTTCGAGTTGACGTTTCAGAATTCGCGCGAAATGGAGTCAGCATGAACTATGGATGCCATATAGGACCGTCTGTAACCACGGCATAAAGAATGTTTGTCACCGCAAGGAATCGAACGAGGGACCCTCTTTTTTGGTATTCAGAGGACCGCTTAGGAAAAATGAACCATTGTTCTGTGGTGCCTGCAAGTGCCCCTATGTCATGCAAAAAACCGTTTTGAAAAAGCATGACACCCCCTGAAAGACCTTCCTGGTCCCGTCTCAACCAAAATAAGGACCCGTCCTTCTCAACCAAAACAAATTTATCAGCACACTGACGACTTCGACATGTCGTACTTTCGTCACTGTTGTCGCTACCTCTCCCTAATAAGAATAGCTCTGCTTAAGTTATTCCATGGTTTTTTTTCGTGTTTCAAAGTGAAGCGAATACATTATCGGGTTTGAAAAAAGATGGGCTCACTTCCAATGATGAAATCATTGGAAGGTTAACGACTGCTGACGAGAGAGTATGAAAAAAAGATGCCGAAACACACGCACAACGGCGGTCGTCAATGGGCCAATGGAGCCATCTATCGCTTACATCGCAGAACCAAAAGGCAGACGGCATAAGGAGTATTCTGGTGGTACTAAGATATAAAAAAGGTTGACCAGTGGGTTGAGCGCGTAGACTTTTAAGCCGAGGCATTATTGGAAAGAGTTCCGCTTACATAAGTCGCAATGGATGCGCAAAACTTTTGAGATGTGAGAAGAAGCTACCTGCTCATTATCAAAAAGATATCGCGAGCTATTCTCCGCGGAATCAAACATGCTATGAGAGGTACATTCCCAACTACAGCTCAAACAATCGCGTCTTCGTATTTTTTGGAAATTCGCTACCCTTTTCCCCAGGGTTCCTTGAAATGGAATGATGTGTTCATTATAAATCTTAGAAAGCAAAAATATTTTTGGAAATGGGCCAGTGGTCAAGGGCAAAGGCTACTGCACAAAATTTGAGAATTTGAATGTCAACTACGGGAACAACTAGTTCTGCTGCAGGAGTCACCGAGCAGGCATACTCAGACTTCCTCAAAAATCGGCGGAATGGTTGTAGAGGTAGTCGAAATAGTACGGACATTATGACGGGATTGCTGAATTAAGAAAAAGTGAAATAGAGCCAAATAATAAGAGGTCTGTCTGGTGTCGTATGGTTTCTAGTAATGAATGCGTTAACCACAGACTCACATAGTAGCGAACTAAGATCCAAAGAAAGTTGCTTACGTACAAGTGCATTTGGATTATTTTTAAACCGCTCAAAACGAGTAACAGTGAAATGAAACGTCTCAAGAATTAAACATAAAAAGAAACTATGAAATGAACTACGAAATGAATCATCTCAACACCTTGACGACAACGCGAGTTTTAGCTTTTTAGCCACGTGAGACCGGGGCGATTTTACGGGCGCGGCCGTTCGTTCAAGCAGATTTTTAGTGATAAATACATGATGTATTGTATTTTAGTGATAACAATGAAAAAGCGAAATTTTTTAAAACTAGTCGCAATGGACCTCAAAAGCAATTTTGCTTTGACTATTTCAAATAAAACTCAAATACAGTCATCCCTAAGGGTCTATCTTCTTCTATGTACTACTATTTAAATCTTCAAATACATAAAAAGAAAAAGTAAGCGAAAAATTTATTGAGCTGAAGATTACGTTTGGTTCGGAAAACCTCCTCTAAATTAAAGCTTACGTGACCATTCTATAGGCCACTATGTTTGTAGCTACGTCAAAGTCTCTTACATGGAATAAATGCAAGAAACTTCTAAAAGTGCCAGGCGTGCGAGAAAAAAAATGAGTGTAATGGGAGCGGGGGATATATATCCCGTTCGGTCCGACATGTCCTGCAATGCGTGGGATATATGGATTTGTGGGAACGGCGCGATTTTGCAAGCGCGACCGCCTAAAGTCCTTTAAGCAGAATTGGAGTGATAAATACATTAATCATGACCGATGCAAAAGGAGATCACTAGTTATCAGTGAGCAGAAACTACCAGGGGTACAGTAATAGAACTTGATCGAACGACGTGAAGTAATACTGGAAAAGCAAACGTTGTCAGACCTAGCTGCAATAGACCTCAGAAGCACTATAACCTAGAATGGTTCATTCACACACAAATGTTGTTATCACTGAAGTTCCCTATGTACTTCTACTACTATTTTAAACTAAACATTCATAAGAAGAAAAATGAAAAGAAAAATCAACTGAACTAAAAAATTCGTAGGGTTTAGAAATCCTACTCTAAATCAGAACATATGTGACCATTCCACGGGCCATTATGTTGCAACTATGCTGGGGTTTCTTCCATGGAATAAATTCAAAAAAAAACCTTATAGATGATTCAGGCGTGCGCAAAATAAAATGATTGTAATATGTGCGGCATTCATATATCCCGCACGGTCCGACGTGGCGTGCAATGCGCGGGATACATGTGCCCCGTGTTGTCGTCAATGTGTTGAATAATTTATGAAGCAGAGAGTGCACGAAATTCAT